TAACGTTCTGTGATTCTGTGATTCTGTAGGTGCCCAGTTTCGGTTTTTCCCATCCTGATTTGCAGTGGTAATAGTTGAACAGCAGCTCGTTTGAAAATAGGTCGTGTTGTTGAGTAGCTGTCGTTGCATAACTAAAATCTTATACGATTTGAAGTGTTGGTTGAGAACGGAGCTGGTCTGACACCAGCCTTTTCTGCGTGACTTCAGGAAGCAGGAAGAGAAGGCAGCGTCCCGTAACTGAAACATTTCATGAAGTCAATAATCTTTGTGAATAAATTGTATCTTGTTCTCCTTAAACTTGCGCCAGGTTTACTGGGAAAATGGAGCCCAGATCACCTCTCCTCACGACAAGGAAATTATCAAGTGCATAGAAGAGTGTGTTGAACCATGGAACGGCTCTTGGAATGAGAATTTAGTGGACACCAGCCCCCTGAGACAGGATCCTCTGAAGAAGATCTGTGACTGTTACATGGAGGATCTGAAAAAGATCTGTTATTATAGGTACTGTATAAAACTAAATGTACTTACATCTTATTTTTAAGCTCTGGGTTACGTATGTCTCACCCCATCCCTTCTCTCATGCATCATTAAATTAAACAGTCACCATCATTAGGACTAAACCATATAATAAATAAAGCAGCCTGCCTTTGGACTTGTGGATAGTGTAAAGCACCCTGATGTGAACTGTTACATGCAAGTGAACATGCTCTAAGAGTTCTGAATGAAATTCAGACTCAAGGTGAGGTGAACAGGCATGGAATAGAGGTCAGAAGATTAAAGGTTATGTGGGGCAGAAGACAAGAAGAAAAGGAGGAGGATGAATCATGTAGGTAGAGTAGAGCCAGAGTAAAATCTTCAGCGTGTGGAAGAGCTGGAGCTTGATGAAGAAATTATGAGTTCATTCTTGGGAGAGTTTCAGCCCATTCAGCGGAAGGTTGATATCTCATTTTCCAGGAGAAGCAGCTTTAAAGCAGCAATTTCTAGTGAAAGTCCAAAGGAGTGCTTTTTACTCGTTTCTTCTTTGAAATTAATGCAGAAATCAGCAGAACAGTACGAATTGCAGTTGCATTTTCTTTTGGTTTTGCTTTCCTACGTGAAAGTAGCCTTGCTAAATAACAGAAATCTTACTGATTGCCTTCTCTTCCTTCCTTGTCCTGTTCAGTAACTCAAATCTCACTGAAATCCTTTTTTTTCCTTCTCAGAGAGCTAAACGTGCAAACAAATTTGAAGTTCGTCCATACCTCATTTCATGGAGTGGGACACGACTACGTGCAGTTGGCGTTCAAAGCGTTTGGCTTCCAACCCCCTATTCCAGTACCTGAACAAAAAGATCCAGACCCAGACTTCTCTACTGTCAGATGCCCAAATCCTGAAGAAGGAGAATCTGTGCTGGTATTTTTGTTTCTGCTTCATCAGATTGATGTGTTTCTATGGGCTTTCTTCTTTTTGGGTGTGATGCTGTGATGGAAAACAAAGTGGGGAAGGGAACAGAGAGCAGAATGATAAAATCACAGAAAGTATTGGGTTGGAAGGGACATTTAAAGCTCATCCAGTCCAACCCCTGCACTCAGCAGGGACATTGGTACCAGATCAGGTTGCTCACAGCCCCATCAAGCCTGGCCTTGAATATCTCCAGGGATGGGGCCTGCACCACCTCTCTGGGCAACCTGTGCCACTGATCTACCACCTCATGGTGAAGAGCTTTTTCCTCATATCCAACCTAAATCTCCCCTTTTCCAGTTTAAAACCATCACCCCTCATCCTATTGCTCCATGCCCCAGTGAACAGCTCTTCCCCAGATTTCTTATAGGTACCTTTCAGGTCCTGGAAGGTCGCTGTAACGTCTCCCTGCAGCCTTCTGTTCTCCAGGCTGAACAACCCCAACTCTCTTAGCTGTCCCCATAGCAGAGCTGCTCCAGCCTTTGGATCATCTTTGTGGCCTCCTCTGGCCCCACTCCAGCACTTCCATGTCCTTTTTGTGTTGAGGACTCCAAAGCTGGACGCAGCCCTGCAGGTGGGGTCTGAGCAGAGCAGAGCAGAGGGGCAGAATCCCCTCCCTGGCCCCATGGCCACACTTCTTGTGTTGCAGCCCAGGCTGGGGTTGGTTTCTGGGCTGCAGATGCACATTGGTGGCTCATGTCCAGCTTCTCATCCCCCAGTACCCTCAGTCCTTTCCAGCACGTCATCTCCCAGTCTGTACTGGTAACAAGGATTGTCCCTACCCAGGGTACAGGACCTTGCACTTGGCCTTGTTGAACCTCCTGAGGTTCCCCTGGGCCTACTTCTCCAGCTTGTCCAGGTCCCTCTGGATGGATCCCTTCCCCCTGGCACATTGACCTTACCACGCAGCTTGGTATCATCAGAACTTGCTGAGGGTGCACTCAATCCCATTAATACCATTAATGAAGATATTAAACAGCAGTGGTCCCAGTACAGACCCTCGAGGCACACCACTTATCACTGTCTTCTATCTGCACATGGAGCCATTGACCACTGCTCTCTGGATGTGACCATCCAGCCAATTCCTTATCCACTAAACAGCCCACCCATCAGTACCTGATTTTCAGCTGTGTTAATCCATATGAGATTTTCTTTGACTACACATTGTATGTAATTAAGAAGTAAGACTGTGGGTGTACTTGATTTTGTGGTTATTTTTCTTCACCCTCCCTCTCTTTTTCCCTTAGGAGCTGTCTCTGAGGCTTGCAGAGAAAGAAAATGCTAAAGTAGTAGTGGCTACTGATCCAGATGCAGATAGACTCGCAGTGGCAGAACAGCAGGAGAAGTGAGTGATGGATGGGACCTTTTATTTTCTCTCTTTTTGCAGTGAAAATTGCAGAACGTCCCCAAAAGGTAGA